ACGCCCACCACGGCCGTTTTTATCATCACCTCTCAAAACTGTTTAGCATTGGCAGGTGGCAGCATCTCTCATCTCTGCTTCTATAGAGCACAAATACTCTGTCGTTTCTTTCATCTTGGTCTCTTTGGTAAAATGTGGGTCGTTCGTATGAAGCCGTAAATAGTAAGGAGCTTTGTCTTGTACTTAATCTCCTCCCTTCAGCAGCACCGCTCTAAATCCTGCAGTGATTGTGCGCACGTGGTCCTCATGATTACAGTCAGCACTTCACACGTCAACTGATGCTGTATGAAATGTTTTAAATGCCTAAATAAATGTGTTCATGAACTCTCTGCTCTGAAACGCTGTGCTGAGAAATCTATGCACGTCTGAAAATAACCAATTAACAAATTAAATCTGAAATCAAAGTCAAGAAGAAAATGATTAGGGATTAGGAATGAATGCAAACGTATTATCTTCTGGGTTTGTCATAGGATTTATTTATTTATTTAAGGAAGGTGGAAAAATGAAGTCAGGTATTATTTTTCAGGTATAATTCTTTTGGAAACTAAATGCAAAAAAACACCTTTGCCTTGCTGGAAACAAGAAATGAAGACACACAGAAAACGAAACGATCACATTTCAGGTGCAGAGACAGTGACGACTCTGTAAGCAACAAACACAGAGGAAAAACCAGCTGAGACGACCTTGTTGTTGAGGATGTCAGGCTATGAAAGTGGATGGGAGTAGACTGAGGAGCTGCGGCACCAGTCTCCTCCAGCCTGCTCCAGGGTTCCCCCATTAAAGCTCTGCAAGCAGATGGAGTGCATGAACACTGGAGTCAGTTGAGGAGTGAGAACGACTCACAGCCTCTTCACTGGATCACACTGAGCAGAGCAGGATTGTCTCTGACATTTCAAAAGCATCTTAGACGAGTGTATGACAAGAACAGTGCAACTCCAACTTCACAATGTGTCCAGATGAACACAAAAGGTGATGCTGTGTTAGAATGACAGACCTGCATCTGAAGCTTTTCCACTGACTCCTCTGAGAAGCTACAGTTCATAATATGAGGAAATATAACAGCGCTGACGCTAATATTAACCATTTATTATTCTCTCACTGTCGTTCTCTAAAACCTAAAAGAGAATTATGGATTTGATCAACTGGTCTCTGAATGCCATTGACACCCTTTTCTCAACGAGAAGTCTGGGCATCGCAGAACGGCTCACTGTTGTGAGGTCTCAGAATCA